GAATAATCTAGAAAAAAGGACTCGTCTATTACAATGTATGCATTAACATACAACCACACAATACGGTGGGTGGGATGAAACCACTGTACTTAAGTCGAATAGAATTAGATGGAGTTTGATTACTGAATCTTTGCTCATTGTATTAGCCAACACCCGACACATGTGATAAAAATGGCGCTACACTTATACCAGAGATATGGGAAATTTTACTACCAATAAAACAGAGAATATAAGGTGACACGACTATAAAAAGTGGATGTTGAAAGTAGTGAGATTACACTGAAATGATTATGAGGAATATGCTCGGAACGTCACCCAGCAGATAATACTAAATTACTGTGTCGTGAATCAAGTAAAAAAATCTAACATGGAATTAAATTCTACTCCGGTGCTCAAGTTTTACACCTATAATAAAGGTTAGTGTGAATATTCAAGCCTTAGTAAACATCAAAAGGTGAATACATCTGAACAATTGTGACTGACTTTCAGCCATGTCACCAAGAGTCATAGTCTCAAGGAAATCAAATATGCAGTCTACATCTTTCTACAAGGCTAAGATCAACGGCCAGGGATTTTGTGCACTACTGCCACCTCTTATTTCGGTCTTTCTGTGCCTTCTTTCAACCGACTTTGACTTCTCTTAGCACCCCGAGATATGGTACGCGGTAACTCAGGATACTCGATACAGGCTTTCTCTATCCGAAGATCCATAAAGTAATGGAATTTATTCAGTCAATAACAAAATCGGACGTGATATTGCTGCATAGAATTGTTCAGGCTGGTGTGCCTTAAAGAAACACACCAAGATTCACAACCGAGCTAGATAAAACAGACATAAGAGGGAAAAGGTGTCACAGAAGTGAACAACGTGCAGAGAGTGAAGGAATTCCTAGATTCGGCATGGTTTTGAATCCGTTTATTCGCATCAAAAAGTCATTATAATCTAGAAATCCATATTTCAGTGGTTATTATCTAAAAACCAAGGATTCCTTATTTGGTCACCAAATTCACTATTATGTCAAATCAGTCACTGGTGCAACAACGGAAAAATACTCCGGATGCTAAGTTGTACTATGATCAGTAGAAACCATGATCTAATTTGCATTCATAAGACTGTATGTCTTACACCTTAAGGGGATAAGACAAATCTTACATCACTTATGCGTAGAGTTAATTTACTGCTACAGATTCTTGGGTTTTGTTCACTTCATTCAACTTGTAACTGTAGGTGCGACTTCCAAGCTTTCACATAACCATCTAATAGCTACTCACATCCTTCATGAACAGATAGTATTTACACTCGTTTGTGAATTTTCTTCATCTTTAGTTAAACGACTTTTCTCAACAATATAAAGAGTAGCAACCTGTTTACTGTCACTTTTTATGAATCAATAATTTGTTTTGAGGTTTTTCTCATAGGGATTTATTTATTTCGAGTTGGTATTTATTTTGAACTGACCCCAGGTGAAGGAAAAATGGATCACTGGAAAGCTGTTTCGCCCTCGTATAGGACTCCTCAGCAGTGTTCATTCATGACTCCCCCAGGTTTCGAAACCGAGGCCAATAGTGCTGAGGAGTCCCATACTAGGACTAAACTTCTCTCTAGTGCTCCCAGATTTCCAATATTTCCTCAACTGGTCCCCGTCTATGCTGAATACCAACCTGAAATCATTATTTATACTTTCTACACAGTAAACATAAATAACAAATTATCAAGACGTGGTGTTTCATATGTACACATATGAACCATTTAGACCAGATGATGGATTCTATGCTTTTTAGTTAACTGGTTGTTACTTTTTTACGGAAAGACAAAGACAATAAATAATGTGTAAGAAATAAGCCTAAAGCTTCTTTTCTACAAGGAGTAGTTTATCAAAATTTAACTACTCAACTTCCTTATCATTATTTTTCTCTGTTTCCCTCGTATAAGGGCCGTAATATACACCCAAGCCGAAATGAATTTCATAAGTTTATCAGATGTATCGATAACGTCTGAAGATTCCAGTTAACAAGTTATTACTGAAACAGAAAATTTGGAATAAGTGAACCATACATTTTCATATTTAAGTCAAGCTACTTATAAGTAGTATAGAATAGTTATTATTCATTAATATCACTAGTGCATGCCATTCTCCAGCTTACTAACAGACTGGCCTTCATTTACTAAGTTTCCTTTAAATTCACACAGTAGATAGTCACAAATCCTCGTAGAAGCACTTTATTATCTGGAGATACTTGAATTTCTTCAGAAACTCATCTAATCTATTTCAAGTTCTTCAGGATTTGCTTATTTTAATTGGAACAGAAATCACTTGAGAATTCTGTTTCGTCATAAAATGAAAGTAAATACTGAGGGTTTCGTTATGGATTGTAGACAAGAAAATAGGTTGAATAAAATCACTATCAACTTTAAAGAACCAAGAGATATTTAAACTTTTGGTCAAAAATAGCGTCACAATCCCCAAACAATCTGTGGTAGAAAAATTAGCAGCATTTCTCTGTATCTTCTTATGCTAGGAAGTTGATACATGTAAGAGTGAAAATTTGCTTTGTTCTTATCAAACGATGGACTTATAAGGCAGATTAATATGTTCATAAAGAAGTTTGTAAGTAATTGACTGGTTTCAAAGTATTCATGATAGATCGACGTAAGCAATAGTACTTTCCCGATTCGAGAACTCTTAACACTACACACCGATAAATCCACTGGGAGCCAGACCTTAGATAGTTAGATCTTGCAGCGACTACACTATTAAATGTTCATTGTGTTGTAACCCAATGGTTCTCTCAGTTAACAATATAGCTCTTTTATTATGCAGTGTCATCGAGAAGTACCAGTCTTCATATTTAAGTCGCTTATTGCCATACCTCACAGTTTTGCATCAAAACTTTAGAAAATTGACCTTGAGAAAAGGTACTAGTGAGTACTGAATTGCTGTTTAACTAAGTGGTTTGTAAGAGGCATTCAGATAAAGGATCAGCATCACGATTCGAGGGTTTGCAAATCGGGATTAAACATTTGACCAGTGTTCTCTAGTTTTCAGGATATCTATAGCTGGTGTCATTCCACGATGAATAGTGTGAAGTCGTAGTTTTTCTAAAATTATATCGGAAGTTCAATGTGATACTAATAATATGCATCAGATGTCTACTCCTATCCCAAGCTCTTTTTGATATTATCATCCATTTATAATGAGGCTTTTTCTAACTTACAGGTAGTTGACGAGAACCTCAACAGACGAAAGCGAATGCATACCAGTCAAGTCATCTTATCACTAATCTTATTCTCTTAAAGTAATACCGCTTTCAGATTAACAAATATAGCGTGTCGGCCGTTGGCCTGGAAGTATCTTTGTGTTGCAGAACCTTTCGTAGGGCAAAGATGTGACCGATGAGTCCTCGTCCAGGTCCCAAACCTGACTGGTTTCCTGGAGTTTACTGTCCTTGTTTTCCAGTTAGGCATCGGATAACTGTGGACACTAGGATCTTGGACACAAGTGTTATTTCAGGTTGGTATTCATCATGGAATGATATCATCTAGAGAAACAATGGAAACGTGAGAACACTGGACAGGCGTTTCGTCATGGTATGGGACTCCTCAGTTGCCCCAGGAATTCAATGTTTCTCCAACTGATCCCAGTCCATGATGAATATCAACCTGAAATCAATGAATAAATTCCCACAAATCTTCAAATCGAATAAGTATTATTATTATCAACCTGAAAAAAATATATCCAGTTGATAACTTAGTATAGGGACCTGCAAGCAGTTAACATAACAGTTTGCGTTAGTATAACCAGGTCATGGGAGACAATAATCAATGTCCTTTTTTGTGATGTTCTAACGCAACCAAATTCTGATGTCTAAACTGACAATGTGCTCAGCCATTTAAGCAATAATGAATATTATAGCTCTATACTAATATGCATAAAATAGAGATAAATGGTGGTGATAACCCTATTTGCTGGACTGACGCTTCATGCTTTTTGACACACATCATAAAGATACATCTGTTACCCCGAGAAAACGATTGTTCATTAAAAGTTCAATTATTTAATGGTGACATTATAAACCTACACGACATCGACTACCCTACCTTACCCAGTAACGAATAAATCTGCACGATACAGCATTCAAAAGAGGTCAGTCATGATTCAGATGCTTCAATGTGAATTTCTGATTTGCATCACCTGCGGGGTCGGTGAGATATTCGGCTATCTATCAAAGGACGAGTATACTACGATGCAGTTCGTTCTCTCCTATCATAGGGCTGTAAAATATGCCTATTAAAAGTCGAAGACATGAAACAGTTACAGTGTTTCGACTATAGGTACCTTCGTAGCGTTGGTTGCTTGTGGCGGTGGTCCACGCGCCATGCTAGGAGAAGTTGGATCAGGTTGGAAGAGGGTTCAGGGTGCCCACACCGAGACGTGGCACCAGTCGATGAAGTCCCTGACTGTTGGCTTGAGCCATGTGGGGGGATAAGACTGCCTAGTTGGGGCAGCCGAGAGGAAAAGACGCTTGATGACATTGCTAAAAATCGGTCACAATGGCAAGATGTATTCACTCGTTGACATCTGAAGCTTGAATATTCGCACTCACCGTTATCTTCAAATCTTTTATTCTCTGACAGTACTTTATCTACTTTGATATCGGTCTTTTTCTATCCACCTGTTCTTTGTGCATTACTATGAATTGTGGCAACTTGAACTGATGCATCTGTGTGCAAGGTTCTACGTTGATTTTGTCAGTCAGCCAGTAACATGAATTTCTTCAACCGATTGATGCAGATTTGAAATTATGAAAGGAGGATTAGCCTTTTCAACATTGAGGATACACTTTCTTGGTGAATGTTTTCAACCATTCCATCACACAATACAACACTATGTTGGCGCATTATCCAGTTAGCAACACCATCGATTTGTACGCAAAACTGGCTAAATACCAAAGACTTCAATCAAAAGCTAACCGAACCCGTGGTGACAAAAAAAAACCTAATTGTCATTATCATTTATTATCAAGAAAGACTTATTTGAATAAAAAATATATATATACAAAGTGAAAACCGTTTTTTTAATAAAGAAAAACACAGGTTAAAACAAAAATATAAGCATGAAATGTTACTACCTTATACAAGAACTCGGTTGATCTGTACAATTTAAACATAAAAAAAGTTGAAGTGTACAAGATTCAATGCTTTCATTTTTAAACAGTCAACCAAATAATTAACACATCATTTAGGCTAATTTCTGTTTCTTCCAAACAGGAGTATCATCTTTCTTAACTTCTTCATCAGGATTATAAAAAACAGGATTTGGTTGTGTTCTACCAAAAAAAAGGCAATGAAAATGTTATTAACATCGAGGAGATTTTACGTCAACTATGCATAACAAAATATGTAAACACATTACAATGACTATATCCACAATAGTTGTTCAGCAAACTGACTCTCAAAAAAGATTATTTCAGTCGAATAAAATTAATAGAGACATTTTCATGATTTAGTGGAACATAAGGCACTGAAGGTGGAAGATATGAGAAGGCTTCAGGTGTTTGACCACCGTTGCTTTCGTAGTATAGACCGTATTCCGTGGTGTCACCACACCACATGAGTAACGCAGGCGTCAGGTGTAGAATTTTAGGGAGTAGAGTTAAATTTGTTGACGAGATTATGAACCTTCATCGACTGAGATGGCTGGTTGGGATACGTGTTACGTATGCCTAGTCACCGATTGCCTCGTCACACAATGTTGACCGAAGTAGGTTCAGGCTGAAAAAGGCCCGAGGTGACCAGAATAAAGCATGGCACCGATGTATGAAGTGTTTGACTGTTGGTTTGAGCCATGTGGGGCGATGCAGATTAGTTGGTTGTGTCGTGCGGGAAAAGAGGAATCAGTGGTTGGAGACTAGGTGATCACATGATTGAGAACCGATGTCAGTGGCGCAGATGTATACACACATTATCCTCATCTTAACGTTATACCGAATCCCACCATTTTCTCATTCTTTCTTTCTCTCTTTTAGTATTTTATATTTCTTTTGACTGAATTTTCTTCGCTTCATCTTTCACCTCACTGCCTTTTTACCTGATGTACTGATATGAGCTGTGGCAACTCGGACCGTTAGGCAGTAATGCCTGGTCCTATGTTGATTTGAATGGATGGATGAACGTACTAAGAGAAGAAATTGCTGTTCGTTGACAGTTCAAGTATTTCTATGCAGTTAGTACTGCCGGTTTACCGACATTTCAGATTCGAATTAGTGTGGTTTGCAAACATCACTTCTAACTATGACGTAGATTTTTGTGTACATCCAATCAATATCTCATTACTACTTCATAATTCCAAATACACCAAACTGTCTGATGATCGCAATGATAATAACTGAAAAACTGGTAGAAAACACACCGAAAACTCAGTTCACATTGGAAATGGTTCGCAATAAAACAATCCCAAGTGGAAGAAAACAAAGAGAACTTTATAAATTGTTAAATTTCTGAAATGTTTCATATTTTCAGTTCTCTTAGGACTGGATTTTTTTCAATGGTTGTACAATGCTTACATTACTCTGATCTGTGTAGAGAAAATGTAGACTTCCCCATTAGGGTTGGCGTGACAACCGAAATTGGTGATTGGAAACCCTAGGCGATATAACTCAGAATCCGTCTAATGGAACAGATGCATCCACACATTATCTTCACATCTAACTAGTCATATCGAACCCCACTATCGTTCTATTTCTTCTTGTTTCACAGCTTTCAATCACTTTTGATTACCTTATTCACTTCTCTATCTTTCATCTGAGTGCCTACCACTTTGATGTCTTAGTGTATGGGGGACGGGGTGGCTAATTGGACCACTACGCAGTACTGTCACACTCCATCCTAGTTAACTTATTAGATGTATCACACAGTAGAACAGCACTATTTACCGCATCACGTTTCGGATACAGTTGATTGTCCACAGTCATTTCAAGATAGCTCCCCAACTTTGAGACATGATTTATAAAGTTCTAATCCTCTCGCCTCGTTTGTTCCCGATCGATAGCTGCTACCTTCAAGTGATGGTCAGGTTTATATATCAAAATGACCAAACGAGCTATTATACCGAAAAGGTCTGTTGGATAGTGGTTAGACAAAAAGCGGCTACCATGGTAATGCGAATTACTACGCTATGATGGTCTAAGGGCGAAGTCATACTGCTCGCCGGACGGGGTTGTGACAGCAATAGAGTGTTTCCCTTCGACGACCAGCACTGCCACGCTGATGCTACCTTCCCCTAAGGTGACGGGGGATTAGAAAAGGCCAACCTCAAAAATAGCACACTCTGACCCATTTGCAGTATGCCGATGCCTGAAACAAGGATTCGTAGTCGGATTTGAAAGTAAAACGCCAAAATCTCAAACTTCCCAACAGGTCGTGTGTGATCGGTCTTAAGCATGGGCTCACATACTATCCCTCCTTTTTCGCATACCTCAAGAAGAACCAGACTTTCGCAGTATGGGGAGCCTGACAGTGTCAACCCCCCCCCCTTCCCACACGCTTCCAGTAGTACACAAGACCCAATCAAACATAACCTATCCCCTTCAACTATGTCTCCCGCCCTCTCCTTCACCTCTTGATACTAATATTAAGCCTCTTACACATTACCTACCTCTCACTCTGCAACCATTGCTAACGATCAAAGCTATAGAAACCTCACTCCGTCTCCTAAGATCGCGTCGTCGATTTCATGTAGGAGCTTGCGACGTCCGAACTACATACAAAATCTGATAGCAAGCATCGCTCGACAGAAATCTGGAATCTCTAGCCATGAATGCATGTTGTATCTCTGAGACACGTAAACAAGACCCGACTGTGGCTATTAAATTGACATCACATGGTTGTAGTAATAAATCTTCGAAATTTACCTTACGAGTATCCGAATACCTTGTGGCTAGCTCTCATGGACTCGCTAGTGCAGCCATAGCATTGAGCTGGAGACCAGAAAGTGAGCTTCTCAACTGATTACCAGTCAACAGCCGTCTATGTGCTGTTCGATTGAATGGATGTGTAAGGACTAAGAAGGATAATGAGACTAGGCGATGCCTATTCGTAATCCCAACATACTCACCCACTGACTGCAGTTCGGATGGTGCAAAGGATGAATTCCATGAGAAGCTACAGAAGGCGAAATGTTCACATGTAGTCATAATGGCAGGTGACTTTAACGCCCAAGTAGGGGAGGTAAGCCAATCAGAAATGCAACTGGGAGATATTTACGGAGTCCCATGCAAAGAAACAGACAACGGTGATCGTTACAACAGTACTTATTCCTGGCCAGCATCAACTTTAGGCATGGTGTCCGTAGGCATCAAACCAACGATGGATAAAGGTGTGTGTGTGCGCCTTACTAGCCGCAGGAAACAGGAGGCAGTGAGACTCATCTGTGCTCGATTGGTAGATGAGGATGCTAAGTGCGCATTTAGAGAGGAGTTAGGTGAGCATTTATCTGAACGTAACAGCAATGGTCATCGTGAGGAAACTTGGTGTGATGTTAATTATGCTGTAGAAACAGTGGATAAGACAAGTGATAACCTACACCCAAAGGTTAGAAAATGTCAACGAATTTCCGCAGTCATCCGAACTGATTAGTGTGAGAAGACTGAGTCCAGCTGGTTCTGACAACGACGAGGAGCAAAGCAACGTACATGAAAATTCACTAAGAGTCTTCGCGTCGACTGCAAGCAGTGGTGGGTGGCGAAAGCGAGAGGAATAGGGAAGGTATCAGCGTTGAGTAACACTCGGTAACCATTTAGGCTTATTAAAGATACGGGCATGAAGACGACTATGATGAGTGAGAGCATCGCCGAAAAGGATGAGACGCTGATAGCCTCCTAAGACAGGTTGCTAGAACGTTGGGCAGAACACTTAGAAGCACAGTTCAACTGCCACCCACCCCCCGCAGCAACGCTTCAGTTGCCCAAAATACAGCCTGAACCTGAATGGGACATAGATACCAGTCCTTCAACTCCTTTCGAGGATGCGAAGGCTGTATCGAACCCGAAATGATGCAAAGCAGCCAGAGCTGACAGGTTGCAAACCGAAGTTTTCAAGGATGAAGGTAACAAATCATATGTGTGCACATGCTCCTACAACAACTAGTAGTTTGTTTATTGTGAAGGCACATGATACTACTTTGTCGTCAAGGCCGGAGTAAGTAAAGTTCACATCGAACACAAGAACTATTAGATGGAATTTGAATGCTTAAGCTAGTTAGCCACACATAAGCAATAGGCACCACACTTTTGACAGAGTATTCATACTGATAATATTTAAATGAAAATGAAGTTATGTATATATTAAAAACACCTTAGTATACATAGAAATTAACAATTCAAGCTTACTTTAGATAAGCTTTAGTCCAAAATGGTTGTTTCTTTGCTTCATCAGCATGACGTAGAATAGCTCCACGTATATCCTTCTCAGCGCGTTCATCAGCTTCATTCTTTCTTAACACAATTTGTTGAACCATAAATTGATGCAAACTACCAACTCGATTGCCAACAGATTCTTCTTTATTAGGTACTCGTTGTTTAGCTGCATCTTCTTTAGCCGCTTGTACAGTTTGATGATCTTTTTGTAGAATTGCATTCACTGCAGCCATAGCAAGTTCTGATTCCACTTCAGTATTATTAAGATATTTTTTACTTTTGCGTGCAATACGTACAGCTTCTTCATCATAAGTGAGTATAATTGGTTTCATATAAGCTTCACCGGAACCAGTATGACGTCGACGACTAGAAGCAGTAGCTTGTCGATTAGCACACATTAAAGCACCATTATGACTGAATTTTGAATCATAATAAACATTAGCTGTGCCATCAGATGAACTACAAAACACCTGATTCAATCTATGATGCCATGTTAACCCGATAACACTTCCATGACATGGACTGAATTGATTAATCATCTGAAAATAGAAAACAACTCTTAAGTTTATTCATTTTAAGTGGATAAAATACAATTGAAAGGCTTCATTTAAACAAAACAGAGGTTGAAATCCCTCCCTGAGCCACACACACACACACACACACACACACATAAGCGAATTCGCTTTCTGCATTTCCCTAAGTGATATTTGTACTACCACTATTCCCTTTATAGGTATTTCTGATTACTTTACAATTGTTTCTCTTTTCATTGGTTCTCTCTTTTCTTTTCTCTACGCTGGGAAACATCGAGGTAAGGTTGAAACGGTACATTATTATGCGAGATTTTATTTTGTTAAATTAAACAGCTGGTCTATCAAACTGACGCAACAAGTTGAAATAGAAAATGTTAATCAAGGATTAGATTTCATGAAGTACCAGATGTTGAGTCATTCTACACAATCTAGGGACTTTTTACAGAATCCAAAAGCAGGAATATTTTAAACAGCAAGTAACAATTATGTTGTTACTTGTATTATCCCATCGTTGAGTGGACCAAATCGATCGGTCTCTGTTGGTATATAGGTTCCTGCCCAGAGGCCTCAAGCTGTCTTGGTGGGAATAACATAGCTCACTGGGAGGCAAGTATACCAGCTGACAAGTCCCAAATAGGACGAAACGTGCTTCCTGTATTCCACTGCTAATCACTATCCATCATTAATATAAAGCTGGATACAACTATGGAAAATATTTCCTGTTTTGTGCGCAGACAAATCAATAGAGGACATAAATACGTAAGAATAACGCCATTAGCCAAAGAAATATTCCTCAATTCTTGATTTCGTGTTCAGTTATTCTAATTAATCCTGGTCGACTACTTTGACCTATGCATTTAACCTTGCAATCATTGCAAGAGATTTGGTAAATTTTCATTTTGCAAGATTAAACGAAAACAAGATGGAAGTTTACAGACTAGTCTCTATAGGAAACCTAGCCGTTGGAATCGCTACTTGGACTCCGAATCATCTCAATCCACCTTAGTTGAAGTCGGCTTAGTTAAATGCCTACGTAATATGGCAAAAAAAGCCAAATAGTAGGACAGAAGATCTACGACAGGAAATCAGATATACCAAGAATACCTTGCGTCTCAATAATTACCCACCTAAATTTATAAATAAATTCATAAGAAATCGAAAGAAAAATATTAGCACTCGTGGTAACACACGAGCTAATAATAATTCTACTAGCAATAATGGTGACAGGGTTGAGAAAGTATACAGAGAAGGAACCTCGGAAGCTATACAAAAAATTCTCAATAAAGCTGGGATAAGAGTGACATTTAAACTAACAAACTCGCTTAAAAACAAGCTTTGTATACTGAAAGATCCTGTTGATCCAATTAGGCAATGATTGTGAGGTCAGGTACATCGGTCAAAGTAGTCGATTCGGGTCAATTAGAATAACAGAGCACAAAAATTAACTAAATTTCATTTTAGTTTATTAGAAATGTCAAACAGTAAAACAGTACCATTTACTGGATGACGTTTCGGACATAATTTACTGTCCATATTCATATCATGATATAATAGCAGCATAAACATAACAACAACAAAAAATAGTCGACTAACCTCGAAATTATCTCTTCTATAAAAGTTTATATGACCCTTCTTAGGATCACCCCGTGGTACACCTACAGCGACAGCAAGTACATGATCATTTGGACTAAATGTTACTTCTGTCTGATTAAACAATGCTGGTAAATCTGAGAATACGTGTACAGCACCTTTAGACAATGCGCGTGCATCCCATAATTTCATTGTATCATCCATTCCACGACTTAATAATTGTTTACTATCCCATGACCATGCAACACACGTTATATCAGTATTCAAAGGATGTGCTGTACGACATAACTGAATTGTGTTCACCAATGGTTTACGTGTATCCCACATCTGAATTGAACCATCTTGACAACCAGCGGCAATTAACTGCCCATCTCTGAATATAAAGACAAAAAGGTAACAACATCTAAAGACTGTAACCTAAACACATACTGGTGTAATTTGTTTGGTAATAGCTGACAATGAGATTCAATATATGAAATACATTCTGTCTGAAACCTTCAGCTGGAATACATATGCTCCATTGTGGCCAATTTTCAGCCATTTCCCTAACAATTCTCAACTAGATTCCTATCGTCTCACGGACACCAGCCAAGTAATCTACACCTCACAGGGCTCAAACCAATAGTCACAAACTTCATCGACTGGTGCCACGTCTTGGTTTGATCACCAGGTAGTTAAACAGGCAAGTTGGTTGATGAGGTTGTGAACCTTCATCGACTGAGGTGGCCTAGACATGCAGTGCACACTCCTCACAGCCATACAACAGGACAGGACGGACTGCAGCTAGGTATGCTCGTCCTTTGATATATAGTCGAATATCGCTCCAATCGGCGCCACAGGTGGTGCAAGTTGGCAAATGACAAACAGGTCTTCCATATGCAAGCTGAGATCTTGTCAGCAACCACCCCGTTCGAGATGATGAAACGGTCGATACATTCCATCACTTCATTCTCTACCAGACGCGTCGTAGAGCATCATCTTACATTTGACAGATGCGAGACACATGATAAACATGCTCACATTTCTACTCAACGCGTTCACAAGACCCTGCATTTTACCAGCGTCTTACTATTCTTTTTGACTCAAATCAACAATCAAAGCCTTTGTAGACTACTGCCATGCATTAGTCTGTCCATTATTAACTTTCTCTGAATCCAATCTGAATACAAGGAATATTGTCTATCCGTGCCAACTGTGGTTCCTTATCCATAACACATGTCCCAGTCACATCAATCAGTGTAACTTCACCTCATCAACTGGGTTTCTTTGCTTGCCCAGCATTCTCTACACATAATTTCGATATTGTATAGAAATACGATTGGCTAGGATAGATGAAAACCACAATAAATCCCGACAAAAATATTACATCATTGCATTCAACGCGGTTCATATGAATAATATATGAATTCTACTCTCTAGATAAATTGTTTTTTGATTTCTGTCACCTCATCGCTTGTCTTTCTTTCTTATTTTCTAATATATCACACTTTTTCCTCCAGAATCTCTACCGGTTGAACGCCAACTGTAATATTTTTCCCAAATGGTATCAGCTCTGCATTTTTATGAGTTACATATTGCATGAAGAATACAATGAAAGTGAATATAAACTGGATGTATTTGCATCAAAATTTCCTCAGCCAACAAAGCAATCGGTTTGATATAATCTCGCAACTGAAGTAGTTAATTCATTCTAGAACCTTCATTTCGCAGGTGACAGCTCCAAAATGCATGCAAAAAATACCCAAATTGTTTAATGTTATGAAAACTTTATTATTCATTAGTGTCGTTTGTGTACGCAAAGTGGTGTGAAGCTGTGGCTAACTGACCCAGATATTCAACTTCAGTCACCAGGTCATGGATTGAAATCTTGTTTTACCTGCAGATTTTTGGGCAATCAGGTAGCATTCTGAGCCCTAATGGTGCATTTTAGGTCTAGCTCTTCAGTGTATTAGACTGCACATGGTTGCTGAATGACTCTATACCGACCAGAAGACCTCTAGGCAGTAAATCAGTTCACTGAAAAGTTGCAGATAGGTAGGATTACTCCCATTAGTTTATTTATTGTAACGTTAAATGGAAATAGTGATAAAAGATATCCATGATGAACACCAGAGATAGTCATCATTTCAAATGACAACTTTCTGTATCCTTTTATGCGTTAACATGAGTTTCAGTAGACAGCTTTGATGCAGTAGCGGCAACTGATTAGTCAACAACTACAAAGTATAAATAAACTAACAACCGACGAATGGCGTATGACTTTGGTCTGATAATTAATCCTTGATATGAGACTAGGCAACTATGCCATTTTTAGACCTTTTGGAAAATACAGTTGTTGCCTATACATCTAACGTGTTGGTTGTGAATCCTCATTGGGTTCAGTCACGGCTACTAGAAATAGATGTTCATAAAGCATACTAGCTAGGTCTTAAGATAAAAAATGTGTTCTTCAAGAATATAATACTCAACTGTAATTATATAGTATATAGATACTCCATTCACAGAAAAACACTCCCACAACATCGGTTAATGTCGCGAAAAGATGACAAGAACTCCTTATTCCACACAATGAATGGTAGAATTGTATTCGCAATGCATCTATACATTTTACTTCCGTTCAAAATTTAGTCTGTTTGTAAGTGCATGTTTCATCTGATTTATTCTTTTTTGCTTTTGTGGGACTATAGTTCATTGATTTGGCGAGATAACTTACAACTAATGCGCCAAGGGTTCGGACCCCGTCCCACTTGCCTAGTTTTGGGCAGCCAAGTAGTATCCCTATCCTTCATCACACCATAGATGTGGTTCATTGCCTATTGCATAAATATGCACAAGGTTACTGAGTACACTTCGATCCCCTGAATTATGAAAATAATCAATAAGTAGAATGCATCAATGTTGTATTTACACTATATTTATATATCTTTGATGCATTTGCTTTGGGATTTAGTTTTGAATGTTTGAGGATCAAAAGTCACATGACTGATGAGTATCAACAATATGCACTTCCTTAAAATCTTACTCAACATTATACTGAACACTTACATTTGTTCTGAAGTATTTCTTACGATGATCATGACTTCATATGAACCAATATTCAGTTTCATGACGGAAATACTAATCGATACACTGAACTATAATCCTGAACACTTACTAAACTAAGATTCGTTGACGTTTGTTTCATGTGTTAAACTGCAAGAACAGGAAAACACAATGTGAAACAACTATGAATGAAAATGATTGGACAAATAAGAGTGGAACAAAATAATCCTAATTTAAACAGTATAACATGATAGATGATTACTCATGAAATCACCTTGTGTAAGCACATGATGTTGGACTAGTTTTTCTTCCTTGTGCATTACGCGGTTTTATTACAATTTTATGATTTGGTATACGTGTCTCATTAATAATCGCTTCAGCATCATTAATATCCCATATACGTAATGTTGAATCTTGTGAACAAGTGAGTAGTTTATTCGAATCCAATGGATGCCATGTACCCCAGTGTAATGCATGCGTATGACCTTTAGCACTAGCTGGATCAGTGATATACTGATAACCCTTGTTTGTGTAACACACAGGCTCTCCATCTCGATCAACTATATATGCTTGAGCTGAACCGGATATAACTAGAAGATTTTCACCTGTATAGATTAAAAGAGGATATGTGAAGAAAATAAGTTGCTGAATGAAGTATCTACACAAAAAAAAAGAAAACATTCAAAGAAATTTTATCTCGTAACACTTTTGATATGCACATCTGACGTTTAAAAAGAATCATACCAACAGATTCGATGACTTTCCATACTTCTGAATGCAACAAAAATGAGAAGACCGAAAGAAAGAAAGACTTTAGAGTAGATTAGAAAGGGGCAACAGATAGACACACTAAGTATATTTATAGATATTGATATAACAAGCAGAATGTATTGCTTGTCCACTAACCTTCATAATGCCACTGATTGTTTCTTATGTGAGGGTCGGGAAATGATTATTTGTATATAGGCAGCTACCTTAGTTCGTTAATTCTCTAGTCTAAACTATGATTATTATAACTACTACTGATAACTATTCGAGTTCACGGAACAGTATCACTGGCCTCCTGAGACAGCACTCCAAATTACTCCACACATCTGTCATATCGCTCAACAAGCTTTGCTAGTCACAACTCTAGCATCTCGTGCCATGGGTGTGTGTTGTGCTTGTGAGACACGCATACATAAGCGATGTGCGGTTATTCAATTAACCTCAACTGGTCAATATAGTAAATCTGCAAAATTCACCCTTCGGGATTCTGGAGATTCACTGGTTTGTTCTTGTGGTATTTCAGGCGTAGGTATAGTGTCAAGTATCCACACAGAAAGTTCACTTCTCGACCAGATTCCAGTGAACAGTCACCTCTGCACTGTGCACGGCAAAATGAGGACTAAACATAACACTAAAAATCGCCGCTATCTCTTTGTAACGTAAGTTGACGCACCCACTGACTCGACTTTAGATGAAGTGAAGCATGTGTTCTACTGAAAACTGTCTAGCCTCCCACCGAAAGCCAAGCGTTCAGAGATGGGTGTCGTGACAGATGGTTTCATTGCACAAGTGGGTAAGCTACGGCACACAGTAAGGGCACTTATGTGACACTTTTGGAATCCCAGTCGGATGAACAGATAACAGCAACCACCTATTATAACTGTGTTCAGATGACGATTTATTTCTGACCAGCACGAACTTAAAGGATAAAAAGAGACATTATCCGATGTGGTGTCCACCACCCTCAGCTCAGCAGTGGACAGAGATAAACCATATTGCTACCAGATATCGATGAAGAAGGTCGCTGAAAGACTGATACTCCTTCTGGAGTATGTGACTAGACAGTGATCACACGCTGGTTCAAGTGTGCATCATCATCAACCATCAATATCAACATAGGACCAGGCATTACTGCCTAACGGTCCGAGTTGCCACAGCTCATATCAGTACATCAAGCAAAAAGGCAGTGAGGTGAAAGATGAAGCGAAGAAAATTCAGTCAAATGACATATAAAGTACTAAAAGAGAGAAAGGAAGAACGACAAAATGATGAGATTAGGCATAACGTTAAGATGAGGATAATGTGTGTATACATCTGCGCCACTGACATCGGTTCTCAATCATGTGATCACCTAGTCTCCAACCACTGATTCCTCTTTTCCCGCACGACACAACCAACTAATCTGCATCGCCCCACATGGCTCAAACCAACAGTCAAACACTTCATACATCGGTGCCATGCTTTATTCTGGTCACCTCGGGCCTTTTTCAGCCTGAACCTACTTCGGTCAACATTGTGTGACGAGGCAATCGGCAACTAGGCATACGTAACACGTGTCCTAACCAGCCATCTCAGTCGATGAAGGTTCATAATCTCGTCAGCAAATTTAACTCTACTCCCTAAAATTCTACACCTGACGCCTGCGTTACTCATGTGGTGTGGTGACACCACGGAATACGGTCTATGCTACGAAAGCAACGGTGGTCAAACATCTGAAGCCTTCTCATGTCTTCCACTTTCAATGGCCATGTTTCACAGCCATACAGTAGAAGAGACCGGACTGCTGTGCAGTACACGCGACCCTTAATAAACAATCGGATATCGCAGCGGCGCCATAGGTGGAGTAAGTTGGCGAAAGCCAACCGAGCCTCTTGTATTTATGCAGAGATTTTCATCGGTCACTAACCAGTGCACCAGAGCTGATCCCACTTCACTTCCCAGGTAAGTGAAGTGGTCGACAAGCCCAACCTCTACACTCTCTATTGTTAGCCGTGGAACCGTTGAAGATGAATCCTGAAGTAACAATTTGCATTTCGGTGGTGAGAAACGCATCACAAACATTCTCAAAGTGATACTCAAAGTGTTCAGAAAACTCTGCATCTTGTCAGCGTCTTCACTTGACAGAACTATGTCATCTGCATATTCTACGTCTAACGAAAATTCTCCTGAGATTAGGTCAACGTCTGTGTAACCTGGTGAGAGGGGGACCTCTATAAGAATATCTATGATAAAGTTGAATAAGAATGTAAAGAGTGGGCAGTGTTGACGGACACCACTCGACGAGTATAGCTCCCCGGACATCTCACCATAGGCTTTAACACACACAAATGTTTGAGTAGTGAGCCTTCAATAAGGCGATGTACTTACTCGGCATCCTTTTCAGTCAGAGACATTGCCATAAGACTTTTCGATCAACGGAGTCAAATGCCACCGCTTTCAGGTCGAGAATTACAGCAAGTGTCAGGCGTTGGTAAGCGTGCCTATGTTCCAGGACCTGGCGCAGCGTGAATATTTCGTCGGTACACCCGCGGCCAGGTTTAAAGCCTGCCTGCTTTTCTCGGGCTTGCTGTTACCGAGTTCCACTCAGGCGTCGGAGAATTATAGAACCTAGGATTTTGGATACTATGTTCGTCAGGCTGATTCCTCTGTGGTTATCACAAGAGGACCCCTCGCCTTTCTTGAAGACTGGGATAGTCAGTGACTTAGACCAGTCGGAGGGGATCGTATTTGATTCCCATATAATAGCTAACACTTCCGTTAACCTAACTAAGAGCACCTTACCACCATTCTTGTATACCTCAGCAGGTAGCCCATCTGGTCCTGCTGCCCTTCCTCGCTTCAGGCTACCTACCGCTTTCTCAACTTCTTCTACTGTTGGGGGAACTATCTCTATGTCCCATTCAGGATCCGACTGGATAGCGGGCAACGCAATCGTGGCTGGAGGCCAGTTAAACTGTTCCTCCGAGTGTTCTGCCCATCGTTTTAATAGTTTCCTCTGTTGGTGAGTCGCAGATCAGTCCTTCTCCGCTATAGCCTCACTAACTGTTGTTGATCTTTTCCCCCCAGTTTCCTTAATAAGTCTAAATAACTGTCTACTGTTACCAGTCGCCGCCGTCTTTTCCATCTCTTTAGCCTTCGCTGCCCTCGACTGTTCGCGGCGTTGCGTAAACTTTTTCTCAGTCTACTTTTAAGCTGTGCCCGCTCTTCATTGTGCTCGGGGCCCGCAGCGAGGCGCTCATGTGCAGCCATTAGTTCGGAAGAAGCTGCTGATATCCACTGGCTCTGTTCAACCACTCTTTCGGAGTCGACTACGGTCTTCAGAGCTGCTTTTACAGTAGACTAGAGATGGCGCCAAGCTTCTTCTGGATGAGTGATAGTCTTCTGTTCCGATAACTGCCTAGCCAACTCCTCACTGAACACGGCTTCAGTGTTTTCGTTGTCCAGCAGCACTCGTGGTCGTTTTGTTGCCAAATGTTTTTTATGTCCACTGAGACGTAGGCATATACGTGCTCAGACTAACGCGTGGTCCCTATTTAAACACGTACTCCAGAAGGAGCGACAGTCTTCCACCGATCCTCTCCAGCGATGACTAATAGCAATGTAGTCTATCTGTGTCCACCACTGGGTTGAGCTCGGTAAACGCCACGTCAGACAGTGTCTTTTTTTATGTCTGAAATTTGTGCTGGCTAGAAACAGGCGATTATCTGAGCACAGTTGTAGTAGACGATCACCGTTATCTGTACGTTCAGCTGGAATTCTGAAAGTGCCACCTAAGTGCCTTTCTGCCTCACCCAGTCTACCCACCTGTGCATTGAAGTCGCCTGCAACAACCACCACGTCCGAACGTTTGGCTTTCGAGAGGAGGCTAGACAGCTTACGGTAGAACTCGTCCTCTACTTCATCCTAACTATAGTCAGTGGGTGCGTAAGCAAAGATTACGAAGAGACAACAGCAAGTCTCACTATTCCTTTTAGTCCTCACTGTGGTGTTCAGTCGGATAGCGCAGAGGCGACTATCAACTGGGATCCAGTCTAGTAGTGAGTCCTCTGCTCCAGTGCTTAGTGTTATGCCTACACCTGCAAGACCCCGACAGCTAGCTATCGAATCTCCAGAAACTCGGAGGGTGAATTTTTAGGATTCACCAGATTGGCCGGGAGATGTTAGGTGAATAACCCCACGTGGATCCTGTATGCATGTCTCACAAACACAGCACACATCCATGACCCGAGTTGCTAGAGTCTTTGCCAACGAAGCCTGTAGACCAACGTGACGGAGGGTGCAGACGTTGAAGGGTCCGATATGCGATTTGGAGTGTGGCTTAAGGAGACTAAAGATGCTGTTTTGTGGACTCAGACCGTTGTCAAAGGCTGTAGAGCTAGGAGAAATTGAAGGTGATGTAGCATCGTTAGTTGAGAGACGTGAAGGAAGATTAGAAGGTAATGATGGGGGAGGTGGATAGCAGTCTGAAGAAACTTGAGTGCTGATAGAGTTGTGAGGGCGGTTGACACTTCCCGGCTGCCTACACCATGGAAGGCTTTTTCTTTTTAAGGTACCTGAGATTTCTGCGACCGCAGAGCCCACCGGACATCCTCTTGAGGCCTGTCACACGTAGACTTTCGAGTATGATTATTTCGAACTTTTTTATTTTTGGGGCCGGATGGTCGAAAAGAAACGACAAATGAACCAACACCACCAGCCCACTGGACCCTGGGGTCTGGTGAAGTGTGTTACTTTGGGGGCCGATCTTTTCTAACCCCCCGCCTTCTAATGAAAAGGTAGCGTCAGCATGGCACTACTGGCCATCCAAGGGAAACACCTTACTGTCGTCACATCCCATCCAGCTAGCAGCAGCACGACTTCACCCTTAGACTCCCATCATAGTGTAGTAATTTAAACCACGACGGTAACTGCTTTTCGCCTTACCACTGTTCAACAGACCTTTCTGGTATGGTAGGACCTCGAGGGAACAAGCGTTCCACCAGCATAGCTCGTTGGGTCATTGTGATATGTAGGCCCGACCACCACGTCAAGGTAGCAGCTATCGGTCGGGGTTCAAGTGTGCGTATGTCACAGTCTAAATCGAAAACTAGAGCAACAAGGCCACTGGGAGTGCTCCATAACGAAGAAAACATTAAGGATGCTTTCTGGAAGAAACTAGCTAGAAAGTTTCCAGAACAGAACGACATCACTCAGTCGGCTGTAAAAACAACGTTAAAGGGTGCAACTAAGAAAAAGGTTTAAAAAAACCAGTGGATTTCAGTGGCTTCTTCTGAACCAATGGGTACACGGAAACGCATTACTACAGACTGAGCACAATGAAGAGCAGCGGTGGGTAGCGAAGGCTGAAGAGATGGAAAAGTTCACGGTGATAGGTGACAGTAGGCAGTTATTTACACCGATTAAACAAAACGGGACGCAGTTATTAATGATTAGAGAGACTATTGACGAGAAGGACGCGTCTGCAATTCATCCGCAAGAAAGGCGACTGGGATGGATATGCGGAACACTTTAACTGGTCTCCGACTAATATTACATTGAGACAGGTCATCGAACTCCTGTCGAAGTTGAGAAAGCTATAAGTAACCTGAGACAAGGAAGGATGTTAGGAAAAGATAGGCTAATACCGGAAGTATTTAATAGCAGTGGTAGTCGTACATTGATCGGGTTAACTAAATTGTTAGATAGCACTTTAGAATCAGATATGATCCCCTCTGACTGGTCTCCATCACTGGTTGACCCAGTCTTCAAAGGTCAGAAATCCTCTTGCGATAAACACAAGAGAATTAATCAGGCTGGTGACCATTGCATCTGAGATTCTAGGTTCTATAATAGTTAGACGACTACGTGGAGATCAAGAATGAAAAACCTGAGGAAACCATGAAGGTTCCAAACATGGCCGTGAGGGTATTGACTAGACATTCACACTCCGCCATGTTCTGAAACAAGCACACTTACTGGTGCTCGACATAGTTTATATTTTCTGATATCAAGAAGCCTTATGGTAGTGTCTCACACTGAAAGGGATGAAGGATAAGCACATTAGTCTTTAGAAGATACTGTATTCGAATACCGGTAGGCGCATTAGAGCCTATGGTGAGGCAACAGGTGAGTTGTGTACGTTGAGTGTTGTCCGTTAAGGATGTACATTCTTCATTCTTATTCAACTTTATTACAGACATACCTATGGAGGTCTTCCTTTCGTCTGACTTTGCACGGATTGATTGTCACAGATTCCTTCTCAGACCTACAGTACACGGATGCTAGTCATGTTGGGTGGAGACTCTGACAAGATGCGAAGCCTTCTGGATGCATTGAGTAGAGGCGGCCGGACTACCCCACCATCAGTCCATGAAGTTTCTGACCGCTAGTTTGAGCTGCGCGGGAAAATGCACACTTCCTATCTACGATAGAACGCTGTTTTACTGAGAACGGCTGTTTGAAGAAAGTTGACGGCAGCCAAATATGGAAATGTCACCAGTTCAAAGTCATACTGTTAGCCAGGTCCATGTAGTAAAATGTAGGCTTTCAGGTTGAGGTCCACAAGGAAATGGAAACCAACCGTTGGAAACTTCAGGCGATACGGTTGGAAACCGACTGAGGTAGAGTAGATACATTTATGCCTTGTGTTCATCCGAGTCATAGTTTCCGTATGCCTATTCTCTTTATCGTTTAATTTCATCCTATGACTTTCTCAATGTAATATTTGATTCTTTGTCTTCTTGGCACTTAACATCCCCTTATGCTGATAGTGAACCATTATAGTAATAACATGCCCCACAAGGAAGTGACGCAATTGGTTGTCTATGGATTTTTAAAACATGCTAATTTCAGTGAGACACTGCATAAAATCTCACCATCGATAGAATTCACTGCTGTTTTCAGGTCAAGTAACGTAATTTGACCACAGCCAAACGAACCTTCTGTATTTATGCTGAGAATTCAACTGGTGCATACCTTCTAGATGAATATTGATGTAGGTCAGTACAGAAACCAAAACTAAAAAATAAGAGTTGAGAAACACCCGAAACAATCGCAAATTACAAAGGTGATTTAGTGACTCTTCCCATCGAAGGTGTCTGGCTAACAGGATTTTCATCTGCTTCGTCTAAATCAACAGGGGAATCTGCCACGAGGAGATCCATTTGTGTGAAGTCGGATGAGGAGATCTCCATAAGCAAATCCACACAAGTCAAATAAAAACAAGGTAGGTAAATATTCTTGACAGACACCACTGTATGTAGACATCTACTAACAAAGTTGCTCACCATCGGCTTTAACACAACCATAACTGTTCAAAAAAAGAACTTTCAGCAAGACAATGACAAACACTACCACGAAACCTCTCGACTAGTGGAATCAGATATCACTTTTATGTCACGAAATATAGCTAGTGTCAAGCACCTGTAAATGTCCTTGCATTCTAGAATCTCATCAAAAGGAAAGATTTGATAAATGCACCTATAGTTAGCTCCACAACTGTTGATTTGAGTCGTATATGGAAATGTGGACTTTCTCGTTGGGGTCTGCGTGACAACAGAAACTAGTGTTTGAAGACTTTAGATGATGTGACTCACAATCGATCTCAATGGTGTAGATGATGTATCAACATATCAATTCCTGAGAAACTATCAGCTTGTTATTTTATTTTCAGATGATGAAAATCGATAAACTGAAATAAAATGCATTCTTCATAAATCACAAGTCACTGATGGAAAAGAAATGGAAAACGATAAGAAATATAACTAACTGTAAAGACTGCCAGCATACTTATGCCAAACAGCTACGATGCTAATGGTTGACATAGTCTCTAATTAATTTCAACAACCAAAACTTTCACTGAGATGATGTGACCTTCAGGATAGATGCGCCTTAACCGAGAGGAAAAATGATTAGACCAATAGTTCCCACACAAGACGGATGGTAATATGCCTGTGCAGATGTAACGTACAGAATATGCAAAACATTCAGACAATAAATGAGTTGCATTAGAAACTAAAACCAATTTCTTAAGAGAACAGATTCTAGGGTAAGTCGGCGAAGTTTCAGGCTGTGTGAGACAACACAGTTTTAAAGGAATATTTGATAGTATGATACCACCGACTTATTAAGAGGGTTTTGCTTGAAAAATTAATCCATACCAGATGTCTTAATCTTTAGTGAATAAACTGTTTATGAGGCACTTGCCCGGATATAAAAATGACAGTCCAGTGAAGATGGCCTTCAAACTATCTTACTAAGTAAACATTCTAATAATGTATTCCGCCTAACTGTAAACCATAAAGTTGACAACCACTGCACAATTAACCGCACACCCTTCATATAACAAATACACAGTAAAACATGAAAGAACCACACTTACCAGAAGGGCTAAATTCTAAATGTTTGATTTGATGCTCTTCACACGGACGAATAACTTTGAATGGACGACAAGCTCTATCCATACCGCCAAAATCCCAAAGTTTCACATCAAAGTCAAAACCACCTGTAGCAACACGAGCACCTGCTGCATCAATGCCTATTGCAGTGAGTGGTTTAACTCCATGGGACAGAGTTAAATTTTCAGTAATTGGCAAGAAGTATGGATTTTCAGAATCAAGATCTTCTGGTGAAGGGCCAATAAGATCAGATTCTGTGTCTATAATAGATTCAGCAGGAGGGTCATCTTCACTCGCTTTCACATCATAATCAGGAAGCAGAGCCAAGATCTATAACTGTCAATGAGGAATAAGGTGTTTCATACCTTTGAATTGTTTACCTCGTTACGCTTTTGTGCCAGTGAATACGATTCTGAAAAAATTTCCATGAAGTCGAACTTCTTTGGTTCGACTTTTGAATTAGGCAGTTTTGAACTCATCGTTTTTGTAGACAAACTGAAATCCAAAAAATTATAATAAACTATTTAGGATAAACATAAATAGCAATGATGAATAATTTACAATGCATCTGGATTATATTATGAAACAATGAAGATAGCAAGAGACTGATAACTAACTTATTTTTTATGAAAATCACATGAAGCCGTTGACTTACGCTTATTGTTTATTGGTGCTGGTCAGCAAGGAATATCTGAAATCTCAAGAAAACTGTCCCTCAAAGGTTTACATCCGCTTCATACATTGCTGCAATCACAGATATTACCGTTGAACTATTCGGGTTGCGAGTGACTTCATATACGACTACATGAAATACACTGACTGGTCACTACAGTAACCAATTTCACACTACCTAGTTTTAAATACTGGTAGCGACTGCAAATAAGCTCTAATGAAGAGTGATATTCAACATGAAACCTGGGTATACAGCATCCTGTTGATAATGTCAATCAAAGTGCATCACAGTGAGTCTACTAGCACAAAAATTATTCATACACTCAAAGTTAGAAGGATTTTAGCCTGATAACACATCTGACGCCCCCATTATGCACTTCTTTAGATGCCTCATGAAAAATAAACCATCTAATCTGCTGTATCTGGTATCAGAAACACAAAATCAACATAGAACCTCGCACAAAAGTGCATTGGCTCAAGTTGCTGCACTTCACAATGGTATACAAAGAACAGGTGAAGAGAAAAGGGTTGATGTGAGAGAGAGAGAGAGAGCAAACAGTCTGGAGATAACGGTTAGTGAATATATTCAAACTTTAGATATCAAAGAGTGAATACATCTGCACCACTGTCACGGATTTCCAACTGCTTAACCAACAGACGTCAACTTCTGACTGCTTTCTTTTCCAGGACTCCAACCAGGTAGTATACACCTCCCCACACGGCTCAGATCAATAGTCAGAGACTTCATCGACTGGTGGCAGGTAACGGTCTGGCCACCTTCAATCCTCTTCCAACCTATTCCAACTTCCCATAGTATGGCAGGTCGAAGTGGGCGGTGGCTCAGCGTGTGCAGAACATGTCCAAGTCATATCAGTCAACTAGGGTTTACAACCTCAGTAATCGAATTGCTTATCCTGCCTAATACCTTTCGCCTGACTTCAACATTGATCCCACGGTGATTTCACCTAACTCGAGCAATGCTACAAAGACATCTATGACCAAACCCCCCTAACCGCTTCATACCTCCCACTTTTAACTGCCATCCCTCAGTCGTATTACAGGTCAGAACGGACTTCAGCGCAATATAATCGTCCTTTAATATAGTCCACAATAAGGATAACGGATATTCACTCTGTTACAACCAGCTGCTGGTCTGAAGTGTCCACAAACTCTTGTAACAACGAACTCATACAGGCATTCAAACCGTCCCCGACGGAAGCTTTCTGACGCAAAAAAGAACCTGTAAGGCAAAAAGGAGAAAACCCTGATGCGTCAATTTCAGTAAGCAGAGAGAAAGTACTTACACTTATTCATAAAAGACAAACGGGAATGATTCACTACATGAATCAGTTAAGAAGTCGAAACTAGTGTGCGTCAGTAAAGTTTGAAGAGCGTAACTGGTCTGTAACAACCAGCTTATGGTGGGTTTCCGTCTAGTCAGTGGGTTCGCTGTTGGGTCGGAACTCACACAGAAGTATGATGAGCAAGTTTCGAAGTAGAGGAGAAAACTACCCAAGGACTCGGAAAGCACAGAGAATGTATCTACAATTTAGTAAATAAACAACAATTGACAAACGGTAATAATTCACAATGATATCAGGCAGTCTCGAAATTGAAACTAGGAAGCAGATGAGTATGGCTTTGTGTCACACTGCTCTGTCTGATAAGAAAGCTCTATCACAATGGTTGGGTGTAACTGGGTAAAGTATGGGCTAGGTATGGTGTGTGACTTGGTCGGTCGATTATGCATATTACCCAATCGGAAAAAACGTGTTTTGCGGATCCAAATACCATACGTTTACATTTAAGCTACCGTACAACAACTTATCTAAGTGAGCAACAAAACAGTCAATCTTTTGATGATATGAATTATCAAAATGAACGGATGCTGGGGAAACTCAGCACTACAGCTCAAAAACAGCTTCCTTCGCTAACGGCTAAAGAAAAACTACAGCTAAGATAAGCAAAAGAACTGTAGGCTCAAACGTGCAAATAGTTAGTATCCAACAAGAGGATGGTCTTAGTGCACTTAATGAAGAGGATAACAGTGTTATAGTTGTGAGGCTGACGAGTGCAGGTCGGTCTTACAAGGAGTCAGCGAAATCCCAGCTTCCTCAACAAAATGTAATGACCAGTTGCCGTTGATACATTTTCGTCTAGCCACCTGTAGGTAAGCCCTTGCAAAGGATGGGCAGAAGAGTATAATTATGGGAGTCAGGAAGAAAAAGACGAGTCGTCGAATCAGCAAGCACAGGGAATGTACTTGCATTTAATAATAGACGGAAACCGATGAACAGGAATAATTTACGACTAGATGAGACAGCCAAGAAGGAAAAACTAGAATGGGGGTTAGTAGAGCTTTTATAGCATTACATTATTTAAAGAATGACCCTACAGACTACCCTCAAACGAATGTCGCTCGGTTTCCTTTGCAGTTAACCTTGAGTGAGTGAAAAGGAATCAAACATCCAACTACAGTAATTCGAGTAGATGAAACTTATAGCTTTTCAGCTCTTGCTTCTGGATCCTGAAGCTCGCTTCTTCTCCTTAGGTACGCTCCCTCAAGGATCCCACAAGTCTACGGTTTACCTGCTATTGCAGGTAATGATTGTGTAGAGTGACACACTTCTCCATAACCAACAGCCTAAGGTTCGACGAGATTCAACATTGATGCTCACCTCCAAAGTTTCACCGTCCTCGCTAAGCTGAAAGCAACCGGTCAAGCATCCACGCCATTTGGCACGCTGTAGTGTTACTTTGCACTGCTCGTAATCGACCCTCTAACCAGTTCCAATATCCAATATCTTTTTATGAGCCAATGTAAACCAATTGATTTCTTCGCGCTCGCTTCTATGTCTTGCGGAACAGTTCTAGGTCTTTGGTGGATTCCGATGCAGTAGGTCTACCCACTTGACTGCTGTAGCTCTGGTTAGCCCGACGGGCGGTTGGGTGCTGGTTAAATTGGTAGGGAGTGTTGGTTGTTTCTTTTTTCTTCCGAGGACTGTGGTGCAGATGGGTTCCTTGAGTGTCGTGCCAGCGGACAATTGGTCGGACTAGTTGTAAAAAGGAGATGAAAGATATGTGCAGGGAAGTCAAGGGAGAGAAAGTGCAGAGAAAGACAAACAGAGAAAGTAAAGGAAAAAACGAAGAAAAAAGATCAAGAAAAAGGAAACGGCACGGAAGAAGAAGCATTGATAGGTTTATGGGGAACAGGTGATAGGGGGAGTTTTTGTTAAAGTTTGAGAAAGTACATTTAGAGGGAAGAGTAACAAATAACATGATAGGAAGAGTGGGAATGTAGTAATTCTTGTAGTAGAAGACGGTAACTGGAGAGGATGTCAATAGGAAGGTATGAGGTTGAGCCAAGTTCCCAGTGATAGTGGTTTTACAGTAACGGTTGGCCGTACCGAGCCAGTAGGTAGTGTTGGCCTAGTCCACATCCCAGCTGGATGGACGCAAACCGTGCGTCGTCACGTGACTGTCCAACCTCTTCTTGAAGCTGTCAACAGACGGAGCAGTAGCAATCTCGGTAGGCAATGCGTTCCAGTGGCCGCAAACTCGCAGAGAGAAGAAGTGTGGTCGCACACGGGTTTTCGCTCTTTGATGGGCCATTCTCCTTGGGTAGCTTAGGGAGTAGAATCCTAGGTTTTTCAGCCTGTCCTGATGTGTTTTTTCGCCTCATTCCCACGACACTCTCTATAGCTCGCCTTCGGAATTTCTGTGGGAGGTTCACGTCCCTTTTCTGATATAGTGGTGCAATGACCTCGTGTACCTCTAGGTTGGGTCGTATATAGGTCTTATACGGCTTCAAAAAGAGTTCCGGGGTCAGGTCACCCAGTTGTCTGCGCACGAAGTGCAGCACTTCCTAGGCTCTGGAGGCATCTCCCGGATGATCGGAACCAGCGTCTAGTTTGTCAGTCAGCAGGGTACATTCTGAGAGTCTGGAGTAAGGAGAAACATGGCTAGGAGCTTATCTGGGTTAAATGCAAGTCCACTAATATCCACCCACTCCGCAAGGAATCTGAGGTCACTTTGCAGTGCACTTGACTCTGTTTCCGACGTCATAACCAGCGTAGAGTAGAATTGGGAAGCGAGATTCAATGGGAGGTCGTTCGCAAAAGGAAGGGGTAGCAGGGAACCCAGAATCTCCCCTTGTAATACACCAGATGATGATATCCCCCAAATCGAGCAGACTGTGTTGGCTTTTGTGCAGAATTGTCTGCCGCCTAGATGGTCCAGTAGCCGTGAAAGTATTTATCCCTTGATGCCTAACCTTGCTATTTTGTGGATGAGGATGGTATGTGGAACTGTATCGAAGGCCTTAGAAAAATCCGCGAAAACAACTTGGACAGCAATTTGGAGGTCCCAGCATGCCGTCCACTTATCACCTACCGCCAGAATGCTTCAGGCAGAGGACCTACCCTTTTTGAAACCATGTTGAGCATCACCAAGTGCCCTCCTCTTTTCTAAGCACTTCCTGACATGATCATCTACCAGGCTCTTCATTACTTTTGATACCACCGGTAGAAGGGCTATGGGTCGCTAGCACTGTGGGTTCCACCTGTCTCCACCTTTGAAGATGGGTGACAGAATAGCACTTTTCCACTCTCATGGAGGCATGTGATTGTCTAAGGGACCGCACAAGGCACCCGTGCATTGTTTCAACACAGCTGGTCGAATGTCATCAAACCCCGATGATTTCCCTGCGCAGAGCCTTGACAGTTTTTCAAGGACCATAGCAGGAGTTACCTTTGTTCCAGGCAACTCCACTGCACCTGGTGGTGCTAAAGGTTGGTCGGACAGTTGGTAATTTTGGTTCGATAGAGAAGTATTCAGTTGCGTATCGAAGGTGGCGGTAAAGGCTTTAGCGATCTCTAGTCCGGAGAGGTCATCTCCGTCTAGGCCTTTCAGGACGCAGGCTTCCCGGCTGGCCGATTTTCTGCCTGCCATAAATCAGTATATGCTTCTGGGGTTTGCCTCCAGCTTCTGGGCAAGGTTCGTCTGGAATGACCTCCTGCCTTCCCTCACTCTGATGTTACATCGATTTCTTAGGGCGATAAACGCGGTGTGGCCAGACCCTTTTCTGGAGGTTCCCGACTTGTGCCATGCATCCCTCTTGGCTTTCAAAAGGCGTTCGGTGCCTCGTTTCAGCCATGAGGTTTGCTCCCGTGGTATTGCTGTGACTGCTGGGACGTTTTCAGAGACAGCCCTCTTGACGATATCTCTAAATAGTTTCCAATGCCTATCAATCAACAGGTTGCTGCACTCATGAGGCCATAGTGCTGTCAACAGGTATTGGTTCATCACTACGTAGTTTGCCTTGCTGTAGCAAAGACGAGGTCGAGATCCCTCCCATGACAGTTGTTCGTTGAGCACCGGATCGAACACTACCACGCCGTGATCGCTGCTGCCGAGGGAGGTCTGAACCTGTGCATTTTCACCTGGCAGATGGTCACTGGTAAAAAGGCAGTCCAGTCTGGACGACTTTCCGCCCGACTTCCAGCGAGTGTCATCACCAATATTGCCGTGCAGCCCAGCCTTTTTGATAGTGTTGAGTAGGTTTCGGTCGACCCTTCGGCTTGGGGTTTCCTTGTCCTGCCCAAGATTGAGAGTCGGAGCCTTGAAGTCGCCGGCTGTAATGACCTGGTCATATCCCATGAACGTCACTTCGGATATCACTTGCAGCAGTCGTCAGTTATCTTCCATGTTGCTGGTGGGAGTTCTGTAGACACCTCCTACCAGGTACTTGATGTGCCCGACTTTAAAGTGACACCAGGTGGTGTATGGGAACCCTGAAAGTAGTTTCCGTTGCTCGTTCACTTTTAAGGTCATCACTTACAAGCATCGCCACTCCGCCTCCTTTCTTAAACTCACTGTCTCTCCAGAACAGACGCATACCGTCTATGCTAGTTTCGATGTCAATGATATCCAGCGACAACCAAATTTCTGTCAGGATTGTGACCGTTGGAGAAAGTCAGGAACAGTAAAATCATAATTAGCCCATCTTACTTCTAAGTCCCCTCACACTACTTTAAGGAGACTTGGATATGCTTCTAACGACATGGGGTATCTTAGTGCTGGCAGACTGAAGAGGGTAGTGCCTAATGGCGCAACTTGCCGTAGGACGGCCAGCTCCAGTGGAATCGGCCCAATCACGTTTTTTCCAACAATGGTTTCCTGGGGTCTCGTAGTCTGGGCTTGTTTGTACATCTTGTCTGTCGATAGTGATGGTGACTTCAGCACTGGGCGGAGCCGTCATTTGCTGTTGTCGCGGTGTCCTGGGCCCGCTTTCACAGTGGCGAACATCACCACTGGTGTTACCTTGTACTGTGCACCAAGTTTGCAGTACTCTGGTTAAAATTTCTCAAGAAGGCCAACGTGGCACACGGGGGCGTTAAATAGGATGATGGAGTTCGATCTGTCACCAGCTTCTCTGTTTTCGTGTACTATGGGTGGTTTTTTATGGGAAAGGCGCACTTTCTTTTCCACTGTCACCCATTTTTCTCGATGTACAGTGGGGTTAGCCATCAAAGTGACTTTAGGGTTAGTGATTAATGTAGTTGGTCACGTACCCGGTCGTCGTTTGGTTCTTTTTGGACTGTTCACCGGTGTGACTGTCCGGAGAACAGTGCTGACACTCTTGCCATTTGGACCCAGGGTAGCAGTCTGTGTGGGTGCTGGCATCAAAGCAGCCACTGCGATGCCTTTTAGGACCTCCCTTAGCAAGCCCGTAGAAAAGAGTGGCCTTATAAGGCACTGTGGGTAGATGTACCAAAACCACGTGCATGGGTAGCGTGCCATGAAGGTATAATATTGGTCTGGTATGTCCTCATCACACTGATTGTGCATCCACTTATTGCAGATGTTACACTCGAAGGCAGCATCCCTCTTGGCTACGGTGAGACCACATGTATGACAGTCGTCAGCCTGACTGGAAGGTTTAGCTAACGACTTTCTTTTCCTTCTCTTACGTCCCTCAGTGGTAGCCTTCACAGGTAGACCAGGGTTTGGGCTGGTGATACGAGAAGGACATGCTCTTCGAACAGCACAGGGGTTCAGTGGGATAGGAAGTTGACTGTTCCCAGGAAGTGGCTGTTGCAACTGCCCTCCTGAGGTCAACCGGTGATCTTTTGCGGCGGCACTAAGCCTCTTGCGTCGGGCCCCCTTTACTACAAAGGATGGGGAGGTTTGTAGCCGAGGTGAGGCTTTACTTGAGATGTTCCTGACATCAGATTTGGTTAGGACTCGATTATTACTCATTTGCGCTGGTGATTAGGAGGGGATAGAAGTAAGACAGATAAAAATGGTTGTATCAAGTGAAACGTAGAAGAGCAATGATAGATAAAGTAAGTTTTCAACCTTGCCTGGGATTGCCCGGTTGCACTACGTGGAAGAATGCCCAAAGTTTCTCATAATTCCAAGGCATATGATCGAATGAGGTAAGTAG